CGCAGGCCCCGCGCCGCCGCGGAGAAGCGCCCTGGAGGCTGCTGTGGCCCTGGGTGCCAGCCGCTGTCCCCTGCCCGGCAGGAAATACTACAAGTTCATCCTGACCCGCAACTTCGAGGCGCTCAACTCCAAGGGCGGCGGGAACCAGGTGTCGCTGCTCAACATCATGATGGACCTGAAGAAGTGCTGCAACCACCCCTACCTCTTCCCCGTGGCCGCCGTGGTGGGTCCCGTGCTGACGCCACGCGCCTGTGGCCCCGTGGCCCCGGCCGGCGTGGCAGGGCTGGGTGTGCCCAGTGCTGAGGCCGAGGGCCTGGAGGTGGTGCGGGCCCGTCACTCGGCAGCTCCTGGGCCACCCTGTTGTGACCCAGAGTCACGGGGGGGCTCAGGCAGGCCACGGCCTGCCCCCCTCAGCCACGGCTAGGGCTGAGCTGACTTCACCCGTCGCCGGTGCAGGGCTTGCAGGGATGTTGGGGTGCTGGTCTGGTGAGAGGAGGTAGCAGTCAGACACTCGCTTGCCCGTGGCCTCAGGGGCTCCTGAGCGTTCCTGCCCCTCTGAGCCTCAGTTTCCCCTCCACGCGAGGACAGGGATGCACCGCGGGAGGGACGGAGGGGAGAGCGAGCCCCGGGGCCACCGCTGTGCCGCCCCCTCGCCCCAGCCCTGCGCCGACAGGAACACTGCAGAGAGGCATGGGAGGCATGCCTGGCACTGCCAGATTCGGGCACCCCCAGATCGCTCGCGACTCGGGGTGGCAGAGCCCCACCGACTTGCCCAGTGGGGTGCCGGGCCCGCCTTGCCTGGAGTAGTGTGCCACGGGTGGGCTGAGCTGCTGCGCGGAGGGCTGCTTAGCTGGGCGTGGTCTGTTGCCGGGGGCTGTGACGGGGGCCTGGGGGGCTGTGACTGGGGTCCTGGGGGGCTGTGACTGGGGTCCGCGGGGCTGTGACTGGGTTCAGGGGCTGTGACGGGGGTGTGGGGGCTGTTGGAGGTCCCGGGGCTGTGAC